CTGGTGTCTTCAGCTTCGTGCTTCTAAGAGTGGTGTGTGATCGCAGCTGTTTCTTCCTTTTAACTGCCAGTGGGGTTGGAGCTGATTGGGTGGGAGCTTGGCTGTGTTCTGATTGGGTGGAGGTGTGTTCTGATTGGTTAAGGAGCCTGGCTGTGCTCTGATTGGATGGGGGGTTAGAAGCACGAAGCTGAAGACACCAGCCTGAAGATGACGAATGTGACTTCGTCGAAACGTCGCCAAGGTACGTTTAATTCTACGCGGGAGAAAACCCGAATAACTAAAGACCTACATACAAACACCCGCGAAAACCTCAGAAAACATATATATATATATATATATATATATATATATATATATATCATAAAGTGATGCTTTAGATCAGGACTTTTCAACCGGTGGTACGCGTACCACTTGTGGTACGTTAACAAGTGGCAGATGATACGCAGCCCTGCCTAGCCAAGTGTAGTGGGGGAGGGAAAGAGCCAGTGCAGGCAAGGACTTAATGTGAGAGAGTCCTCTGGAGCTGCAGAGTGGCTGGGGCGAGGCAAAGGCCCCAGGCTCACTTCTGGCTCACTCTTCCCCATGAGAAAGAAGGAGGAGGAGGGGGGCGGAGAAGGAGAGGCTATAAAAGGAGGCAGTTTAAGGGGGGGAGAGAGAAAAAAAGCAGCAGCCTTGGGAGGAGGAGGAGGAGTCAGCTCTAGCTGCACCAAAGGGAAAGAAGAAGGAGGAGGAGAAGGAGGAGAAGGGTGGGGAAGAGGAGAGGAGATCAAGCAGGCCAGCCATGAGCCGATCTACAACTGCTGTGGCAGCCACCTGTGCTGGCAGCAGCAAACAGGCAAGAAATGCAGTGGGGAAGGGGTCACCCTCTAAAAGGAATGAAAAAAGGCAGCAATGGCTGGAGGGAGGGAGGGAGATGGAGAGTGGAAGGATTCTTATGTGCTTTTGTGACTTTGAAGTTCTGGAATTTGTGCAGTGTGGGCTTTGTGTTCTTAAGGAATGTTTGGCAATTTCTATTTGGCTGATGTTAGCTTCTATTGCTCTGCTGTTGTTAGCTGTAAGTTTTGCTGCAAGGGATTTTGAAGTATTTTTCTCCTGAATGGATTTTGCCTGTAGCATTCCTTTACTTATGAATGGAGCCATTTGGGGAGGCTGCCTTAGCTGGCAGCCAGTACTTACTACATTTTTTTCTTTCTTAAGTGCCAGCTGTGCTCCTTAACTTTCCTTTCTAGCCAGTAGCTAATTCTTAAAGGGGAATGTGCCTTTTTAAGCTAGTTCACTTAGCAGCTTGTCTTTTCTGTCTCTGGAGACTTTTCCTTGTTTGATGAATATATGGAAGAGGAAAAATATGGGGGGGGGGTTCAAATTCTTCCTTCAGAAGGAGATGGGAATGAGAAAAAGGGAGGCAGGGTAGGGAGGGAGGAAAGGAAGTCCCGCCTTAGCACTTGGCCACCAGCAGCTCTGCCATTGACTTTGCTTGTCAAAAGGTTGCAGAAGGGGATCACATGACCCTGGGACACTGTGACCATTATAAATATGAATCAGTTGCCAAGCATCCAAATATGAATCACATGACTCTGGGCATGCTGCAATGGTCATAAGTGTGAAAAATGGTCATAAGTCATTTCAGTACAATTGCAACTTTGAACAGGTTTTTTTTGCGAGGGGGTCATCAAATTTTTGACACCTTGCTAGGTGGTACTCGAATACTGCCATATTCTAAAAGTGGTACAGTCGGTAAAAAGGTTGAAAAGCCCTGCTTTAGATAACGTGCATCTTTTGTTGAGGAGAACAAAAGAATTGACAGCATGATACAAATCCATTCCTGTTTAAATAAAGGGATTCTCGGAGGGGCAGGACATTGATTTATTGAAGATATATACATTATTTACAGTATTCACATTAACATGTATTTATAATGGGTTAATAACAGTTCCTATTTTACAAGATATTTGCATCCTGAAACTTTCACATAGGACTAGGACTTTCACATAGGACTTCATGGTCTTATGTTTCTATCTTGGTGCCTTAGCCATTGGACCAAACTAGTGTTCAAATGCATATCATTAAGTAATTAGGTTTTTGTACTTCTTCAGATTTGAAGGAGACACTAACATCTTAGGGGCATATGGGGAGTGCTTGCTGAGCACTTGCTACCAACTCCTTATAGCAATTGTATCTTTTTGGAGTTTTCTGGCTGCTTTCCACAACTGCCCCCTGCATGCTCTGAAGCAGTCTTTTCTCCCTTTCAATCCAAAACACTTCATACATATATGTGATGTTGACATGAAATGTGTTCTTTTATTTAGGACCAGCTACGTGCAAAACATTGCCTGAACATAAGTATTCAAACAGGCAACTTGAGGTAGTTACGCTAAAAAGAGATAGCAATAGCACTTAGACTTATACACCATTCCATAGTGCTTTACAGAACTCTCTGGGTGGCTTACTATGTCAGCATATTGCTCTCAACAATCTTTTTACCGACCTCAGAAGAATGGAAGGCTGAGTCAACCTTGTACCTGTCAGGCTACGAGCAAAGTTAGCCTGCAATACTGCATTCTAACCACTGGGCCACCAGGGCTCTTGTCAATTGAGAAATAATCTGACTTCTGTTTGACTTAAACAGTTTGTTTCCTCAGCCATGGGAAAAAGCAACAGCATTTAATGATTCAGTAATTTAGTAATCAAATCATCTTTGGATATGAAGCCAATATTCCCATTCAGAATGTGATTAGGGTTCTACACTCTAAAAAACGCGTATGTAAAAGATAGCAAAATAGTGCTGGCAGTATTATACTTGTCCTACACTTTTTATGCTCACTTGCATCCAAGTGTATAAATGTTTCAGATGTGTATCACAATTTGCAGGGAAAGAAGCCGGATTATAAGTATTGCTCTATTCTCAACATTTATTGAGCAGGTTCTCCCATTACACTAAACTGTACTTCATCTTTTTCTGTTGTGTGAGCACAGGCGTTGTGAATAACCCATGGTTTGTGATTTAGCATAATACAAAAGCTGAGTCAGTCTACCAAACCACAGAGTATCACAATATATGAATCCAGCAGCAGAATTAATGAAACCTGAATTGTACATCTGAAAGGGCCTGTGCTATAGTGGTTAATATATATTTATTAATTTATTGAATTTATGTGTCTCCCATCTTGTCTGGAGCAACTAATATAACAAATATTCTGTTTCCCTTTTAAGGTATCAGCTTTGGTGTGTTTTCTGCTTTCTCCTGGTGCCTCCTTTATAACTGGAGAAACTGTGAGTGTTGATGGAGGACAAGGCCTATACAGTTGCTTATGGAACATTCCAGGTAAAACAACACTTTTAAAATAGTGGTAAAATAGTAACATGACTGTTTTAATGTTCTGAAATGGTTGTATTTTCAAAAGGGAAGGCCAAGACACATTATAAAATATGGAAACTGCCACAAAATGTTTACTCTTGAGGGTGTCTGCTTTCCTTTCCTTTTTTTCTGATGCTTTTGCCCTGATATTAAAAACTAATTTATCTTTAAGACTTCTCCATCTTAATCAAATTCCACTTCACTTAGGAAATTGGTTCAGAAAGTATCATATTGCACTTTCCAGATTATGTGCTTTTTTCTGTTAAAATTGATGACTCAAATGTTTTCACATTACCTACTAAATGCTGAATTTGCCCATAAGGTTTCAATAAGCTTTAAATTCTCCATTCATAAGAAAGATAAAACAACATAATCTGGATTTATTTTGAGCAAGGATTTTCCTGGTGCATATACCTTTTAGGTTTGTTAGAGATATTGAAATAATCATGCTACAAGATAGAATTTATTGGTATGTTTACATGAAAATTTAACAATCTTATTTAAATCCAAATTTCATTTTCCAGCTTTGTATACACTAAGTTGTTCCCTTAAAGCGAAGTTATTACTTTTTAATTCATTTTCTTTCCTGGCTAAACTCTGCTAATGAAGGAAATGTAAATTTACTTAGACTGGAATTGCAAGTGCTACAGGAACACAAAAACCGTTTCCCCTTTGTATGATTGACTTGTTTAATTAATTAATTAATTAATTAATTAATTAATTAATTCAATTTCTGTAGCTGTTCATCTCTGTTAAATACTCTTCTCTATCACAGAACCCTGGCCTAGGATATTGTGATGTGAGTTTGCTTCTTGAAATCTTACATTACTTTTCATTTACTTCCTTATGTTAATAATTATTTAATCTCTTACCTTTCACATCTCTGATTTAGTTTTTAGGGTGCATCTACTTTCTACAATAATTAGTCTCAATTCCTATGGTGGTGTGATTCCATAGTTGTTGGAATTTTTAATTTTCCCTCCAAGAAAGCCTTCATCTAATTGATTTAATTTGGGAATCATCTATTGTTTAGCTTGTGTTACAGCCATTTCTTTCTATTTAATTTTGGAGTGGAGGGGAGGAGTCATTTCCATCATGTGAAACAAATTAGGGATGTGTGCAAATTGTCTCAATTAAGGCATTTTCTTCTCAGTCCCGTTGTTCCCTCAGATAGTTGATAATTTTCTTGAATACTGTCATATCTGTCATGTAACACTTTATTTCACACAGAACTTACAGCTTGGCTTCACATATGTGTGAAGTCCTGGTTTGCTTAACTCTGGTTGGCTAAAACAAAACTGACTAGATAAGCACAGTACACCAAGCTGCCAACTTCAGTGATTGGAGTCAAACAACATTCTTTTTTAAAGGAAAAATTACTAGAATTTATTGTGGTTAAAATACAAATACAAACAAAAATTAAGAAAATTTAAAAAAAGAAAGTGAGGTGCAAGAGAAGATAAAGAGGAAAGAAAAAAGTAGTGACTTCCCACTACTTCCACTTTCAGAGGAGTAGAATACCCCCCCCAAAAAAACCCTCAACCTTTTGCATTACAATTCTAAATATTTCAAGCCATTTCTCTAACAACAAAATCATTCTAATAATCAAAACCTAAAATTAGGTATTCTTTTTTTTCCAGTTTTGAGTAAAAAAAATCCAGAACTGGTTTCTAAATGGAAACAAAAATAGATAAATTATTCTCTTTAATTAAAGTAAATTAATTTTGCCATCTTTACCAATTCCATCATCTTCACCATTGATTCTTCAATTTTGGGAATTAGTGTATCTTTTCATCTTCGTGTGCTGCTGTTAACATATGTAGTAATAGCAATACCAGTTAGATTTATATACCACTTCACAATGCTTTACAGCCTTCTCTAAACCAGCGGTCCCCAACTTTTGCAGCTTGGTGGCCAGTCTGGGATGTGGGGGGGGGGGAGATGAGAACCGGGCCATGCTCAAGAGGCCCGGTTCCAAATAAGCCACGGTCCATTAATGGGCCATGGCCTAGGGATTGGGGAGCCCTGTTCTAAGCAGCTTACAGAGTCAGCATATTGCCCCCAATAATCTGGGTCCTCATTTTACCGACCTTGGAAGGATGGAAGGCTGAATAATAAAGTTCCAAATTTTCTTTCAAGATCTTTGTCCATCAAGCCTAAACGAAAAATCTAGATTCATTTTTATATTTATTTTAAGAATCTTCTGAATTAGAGAAATCTGATTCCAATATTTTTTGCTTTGTCACTAAACCATCAGAGATGATAAAAAGTACCCTTACATTTGTGTACAATTACATTTCCAGCATATATTTGAAGTTCCTTTATACATCTTTGACAATTACTCAGGTGTTAAGGCTCAAAGAACATTCTTAATTGAAACGTGAACTCTTTATTCTTTATTGAGAATAAAATGACTGTCACAATATTCTGAAATATTAAATATATTCATTTTTCTGTTTTTGAGATTATATAAAAGTGACTAACTCATTTCATTAGGCTTGTTTTAAGTGTTTTTCTTGGGAAAAAAAAATCTGTGAAATTTAAATCAATAGCATTGGTTTTGCTTTCTGAGGCAACTAAATCTTCTCTTTCCTCCTAGATCATGACAGATGGCCCCCAGCACCAAATGGACATAATGCCAAGGCTTTCAGAAGCATAATTTCAGGAAAACCTAAATCAAAATTATAATTCAAAGACATATGATTTGTCTACATTTTATTAGAAAAATGCTATTTTTCAGTAATTAATTGCAATTTTTAAAATCTATGCCTTAGAATAAAAACACTTACCTTTTTAATGAAGTGTTAATGAACCCTTAGAACATTCACTAAACACAATTATATGGAACCATATTATATGAAATTACATTATTGAATGTATTCATTGCCTGGTAAACATTATTGCGTAAACTGAAAAGCTTGTTACTGTTCTCTAAACCTTTCTATAATATTAGTGTATTTGCCTCTGTGATCTATGAATATCCTCTGAAGAAAGTGAAATGGCTGTTTGTTAAAGCATAGTAAAATAAATTTCTGTTACATAAGATTGTTGAAGAAAGTGAAACATCCATTGCTCACCTGTATCGTATCCAGAGCCCTATAAATTAAATTGTGAGGTTTTGACTTTAAGTTGTCTCATGAGAATGACAGAATTTTGTGCAAGATCCTGTCTAATTTTAGCATTCCCATATTTTGGAGAGAAGATGCTGAAATAACTACAACTGGAATATGACAGTTTGTTTTCCTGCACACTAATGTCTTTGTGTTAATAACTCTTGCCATAATAATGAAAGTCAGAATGGCTAATATTTCAACATAAAAAATAGGTAGTTTATACCTATGTTTCGTAGTTGCCTTTCGATCATGAACAGCATGAGTCCTAATTGCATGCTATACCCTGTCAGATAGAGGGAGATGGGCAATTAAGAACTTTGATAGATAGATAGACAGACAGACAGACAGACAGACAGACAGACAGACAGACAGACAGACAGACAGACAGACAGACATGTATAGATAGATGTATAGATAGATGTATGTATGTATGTATGTATGTATGTATGTGTGTGTGTATGTCCAGGACCACACAGTATTGGAGACTTTGTTGTAACATTATCTCTCACCATCTGCAAGAAACGAGTATAGACATTTTGCTTTACCTTTTCAATACTTGGATAGCTGTCACCAGCTAGATTCAAGCTGCCATTTCTGAGTCAGATTGCTGAGCTAAAATTTTTCTGATTGCTCTGGAGAAGATACATCTAAAGAACTTACAATGGCACTTTGAACTTGTGGGCTTATCCTTCAAAACCCTTAACATTACTATTGGACAACAGCTATTTAATCCAGAGGCAAAATTATAAAGGTAGCAGATGAACATCATTGCAGTTCACATCTTATTTCAAATTTTAAAATATGAGTGTGAATCATTTAAATACCCACTTTTGTGTTATTTGAGAACAAGGTGTGATGATGTAGTTCAGTACTGGACTATTTTAGATCCACCCTCAGTGATGAAGATCATTGGAGGACATTCCTTGTAAGATACTTTTGGAGAAAAGATAGGATATACTTCACCATCATCATAATCAATTGCTGGGATTGGGGTATAGACTAGCCAGGCAATCAAATCTAGTTAATATTGCAGAATGAGAAATGGATTTGAAATTAAAAGTATGCATACATCTTCATTAAAAATGCCCCTCAAGTCAGACTAATTTAATTTCTTATCTATGTATTAATTTTTTCTAATATATAATGCTACTAATCTCATATATATGACTTAGGTTGCTTACATCAATTGAACAATATAAAAACAACTGAATAATACAACAATTTAAAGCAATAAAAGTACAAAAGAATATAAAAATAAGTACAAATTTAATTTGTAGCGAAGGAATCACACCTACCAACAAAATTCAGTAGAGCCATTGTGCCAACTCCATCAATTTTCTCCGTCCCCATGCCTGTTGACAGCCATATTTTCAGGGTTGTTCCAAAGACTAGCAGGATCAGGCCAATCTAATTTTCTGCAAGGATGGTGTTCCACAGGCTGGGTGCCACAGCAAAAAAGGCTCTCTTCCTTGACCCTGCCAGATGACACTCTCCAGCTGATGGGGCCTAGAGCAGTGATGGCGAACCTTTTAGAGACCGAGTGTCCAAAAACTGGCCCTGCCCTTGCTCCACCCCCTGCCCCGCCCCCACTGCCCCCTCATCCTCCGTCCCGCCTGCTCACAGGACCACTCACCACCTCCAGGGCCTGCCGCAGATCGCCCAGGCAGCCCAGCAGCGCTATGGCGGCCACACTGTGCGCGCCCTGCAGCATCAACTGCATGATGGGTTATGAGGGCAGAATCTTGTCTACACTGCCTGGCTGCTATGTCCTTGGCTGCGCTGCTCCGTGTGGGCCACGCTCAGGGGCAACTCTCCTTCAGGGGAGCTGCTTGAGAGGAGGGGGTCATGGGGGGAGGCAAGGCTGGGGCAACGGCACATGTGCCCACCTGTGCCATAGGTTTGCCACCACTGGCCTAGAGCATGCCCCTCCTGCTGGATCTGATGAGATGGGTAGATGTAATGGGGATAACCTTTCCTTAAGTCTTGTATCTGGAATTTCAGTTGTATGAAGCATAGGTATCTGATGGAGCTAGAACCTGCAACATAATGTCATGACACTTGTCATTTTGGCACTATTGTATTGTAATTAAGAATTGATGCCTGTGTGAGATATTGTACAATATTGCATTACTTACAAAATATGCTTGCACTTGTTAAAAGCTTAGATTTTTAAAAGAAATAAAAGTACAATTTGAAAAAGTATGGACTTGTATAATTGCTATGTTTCATTGAAAAGGTGGAATGTTGGACTACAATTTGGCAAATCTAGGAAATAATCTTATTTTTTAAGATGCCACAAGACTCTTGTGCTGGCTGCAAAGGCTTAAAATGTCTCTGAAAACAGGTGTGAGATAATGGAATCTGGCTCAATTTTTGACAACTGCATAGATAAATGTTATCCCATGTTGACCTATTGTAATAG